TTTCTGCCCATTCGTCCAGAAGAGCATCTGTGAGGTCAGACACTGATGTTGGACGAGAGGGTCTGGCTCACAATCTCCATTCTAGTTCATCCCAAAGGTGTGTGTGATGGGGTTGAGGTCAGGACTCTGTGAGGGTCAGTCAGGTTCTTCCACACCAAACTCACCCAGTCAGGCCTTTATGGAGCTGCTTTTGGGGCTCAGTCATGCTGGAACAGGAAAGGTTCTTCCCCAAACTGTTCCCACAAAGCTGGAAGTGTACAATTGTCCAAAATGTCTTGGTGCTGAAGCATTAAGGTTTCCCTTCACTGGAACTAAGGGTTCTAGACCAACCCCTGAAAAACAGCCCCATATCATCATCCCTCCTCCACCAAACTTTACAGCTGGCACAGTGCAGTCAGGCAGGTCACGTTCTCCAAACCCAGACTCGTCCATCAGACTGACAGATAGAGAAGCGTGATTGGTCACTCCACAGAATACGTTTCACTGCTCCAGAGTCCAGTGGCGGCGCTTTACTCCACTCCATCCAACGTTGGCATTGAGCTTAGTGATCTTAGTCTTGTGTGCAGCTGCTCAGCCATGGAAACCCATTCAGTGAAGCTCCTAATGTGCAGTTCTTTTGCTGATGTTGCTTCCAGAGACAGTTTGGAGCTCTTTAGTATGATTCAACAGAGGATAGACACTGTGAGCTTCAGCACTCGGTGGTCCCACTCTGTGGGTTTGCGTGGTCTACATCTTTGTGGCTGAGCTGTTTTGCTCCTAGATGCTTCCATTTCACTATAATAGCACTTACAGTGGTCTGGGGCAGAACTAGCAGGACAGAAATCTCACAAACAGAGGTGGCATCCTACGACAGAGCCATGTTTAAAGTCACTGAGCTCATCAGTACGACCCTCTACTGCCAGTGTTTGTCTATGGAGACTGCAAGGCTATGAGCTTGACTTTATACACCTGTTAGTAATGGGTGTGGCTGAAACATCTGAACTCATTAATTAGGAGGGGTGTCCCAATACTTTTGGCTATATAATGTAGATGCTGTAAACACAAACGTATTTATGGACCACAGATGATGTGTCTATATTTGTATATTCTGCTGACATTTGCCATTTTTAGAAATCTACAGTGTGATAGGACAAAACTATACAGTGTAATATGTAGGATGGTCAGTTTTCACTTTGAGATGGCTGACAAAAATGTTTAGGGTGGTTCTTGGATGGTTCTAAAGGATGTTAGTCTGAAGCTCTGCGTCTACACTGTTCAATTAACTCCAATAGGGCCAATTTCCAGACGTAGATTAAACCTAAACCTAGTCTGGATCACTGGCAATGCAGATTTGTCCAAGACTCGGTTTAATCCACAAACACAGCCACAGCCCATACGGCCAGTTTCCCAGATAGGGATTAAGTCCAGGCTTGGACATGCCTACCCTTAATCCTTGCCTGGGAAACCAGCCCACAGTCCAGCTGGGCTTGAAATAAACACTGTATACATCTATATGGGCATACATACACATTTACTGACCACTTTATCCCTGTGTCCACTCACTGTCCACTCTCTTAGACACTCCTACCTTGTCAATCCACCTTGTAGATGTAAAGTCAGAGACGATAGCTCATCTGCTGCTGCACAGTTTGTGTCGGTCATCCTCTAGTCCTTCATCAGTGGTCACAGGACGCTGTTGGCTGGATGTTTTTGGTTGGTGGACTATTCTCAGTCCAGCAGTGACACTGAGGTGTTTAAAAACTCCAGCAGCACTGCTGTGTCTGATCCACTCAGACCAGCACAACACACACTAACACACCACCAGCACGTCAGTGTTACTGCAGTGCTGAGAATGACCCACCACCCAAATAGTACCTGCACTGTGAGGGTCCATGGGGGTCCTGACCACTGAAGAACAGGGTGCAGAGAAACAGATGGACTACAGTCTGTAACTGTAGAACTACAGAGTGAAACTATGTGGTCAGTGGAGCTGATAAGATGGACATACAAAGTGGAGATACAAGGTGGTGTTTTGAATAACATGCTCAGGTCACAGCGTTTCTACAGCTCAGCTGTGATTGGCTAACGAGAATGCATTTCAGTTACATGAGCCAAGTCGTCCCCACGGAGGTACTGTTTGGACTTGTGACCCGCTAGCTATGCTAACACCACTGCACAGGTTTTAATTTTGGATTGTCCCTCAACACTTGACTTATCATCTAATCCTGCATAACCAGCTCCTCTCTCCTAGTTAGCAGCACCATTAACATTTAGCAACTGTTGTTCGACGGATCGTTTGACATTTAATGAATGTTAAATTGAAAACTGTGCATTGCTTTCATTTATTTGGAGAACCCAAAGGCCAACTTAGCCTTTTTATCTTATTGTTTACAATAACGCAGGACTAGGTGGCACAAAAAAACGATGTAAACATAAAAAACTACACTCTTAAAAAAGATGGTTCTTCAAGGGTTGTGACGACTTTTTTTTTGTATATGGTGAAATGGTTCTTCAGACTGAGAATATGTTCTGTATGGTTCTATATAGCACCAGAAAGGGTTCTTCTATTGTTACAAGCTTGACATTGTAAAATAGCAGTGCTTGTGGTGCTATCTAGGACCCTTTAAAAAGGTTCTATGCAGAACCATATACAACACATTCTCTGTCAAGTTGTCGAATGTGTCTTGGACACCTGGATGAGGCCAAAGCACATAAAAATGCAAGTGTAAACGCAGCCAAGACACAAATCTGAGCACTCAAACCACTTCAGGAGGTGGACTGAGACGCATTTGAGCCACAATGTTACAGCAGCGTAAACACATCCGTCTCTCCAAGATACATCCAACAACCAAAACCCTCTCAGTACAACTAGAACTCCTCCCAGTACAAACAAAACCCTCCCAGTATGACTAGAACTCCTCCCAGTACAAACAAAATCCTCCCAGTACAACTAGAACTCCTCCCAGTACAAACAAAATCCTCCCAGTACAACTAGAACTCCTCCCAGTACAACCAAACTCCCTCCCAATACAACCAAAATCCGTACCAGTATAAATGAAACTCCTCTCAGTACAACCAAAATTCTTCGCAGTACAACCGAAACTCCTCCTCCTGCAACGTAGACAACGATCTTGCCGAGCTAGTAGCTAAAGAAAAGGCAAAGAGAGAGATTCAAGACAAACATTGACGAATGATAAATGGACTTGTTTTCGTTTATAATCACTCCGGCTGGTTTCCTGATACGTTTAATCAGAAACGAGAAACAACAAAAGTCGCGAAGCTGAAGTCAGTTTCTTGTTCTAATTGTCCCGTTCCACCTTAAATGGTGCAGCAGTTACATTCTGATGCCTCAGGCACCATTTAAGGTGGAACTGTAAAATTTGAAGAAGCTGGCGAAAGAGAAGTGACTTCAGCCTCGTAAGAAGTCCAACGTTGAGAGACATTTTACAAGAAATTGTTCTACTTTTGTGGAAAAGTTTCCTGCTGGAGATGCGAGAAAAGCAGTTCTAGCTGAGCTAAAGCTCAAAGCAGAGCGGCGTAAGTCTGTATTTTTCATTTATATTATATTTTTTAGCCTATATTATATACTACTACTATATTTACAGCCGGTAAAATTAAAGACGGTAAAATGGACATAAACTGTTGTGGCTCCCAAGGTGGTTTGATGTTTGCTGAAAGGACAAAATGGGTCTTCTCAACTTGGACAACAAACACAACGAGGAACGTCGATCAAATCGGGCCTAAACTCTCACTCGAAGCCCAGATGACCGAACTGAAGCTCTTATTTTGGTCACATTCTAAGCAGAACCAGGTCACTGAAGGGCTGAAGGTAAAGGAGGAAGAGGACCAGATACAAGATGGATGGATACAGATCAGAGGAATCGTGAACCAGCTGTTCAGAAGCCTGAAGACCCAAACAGAAGACAGTAGACCATCAGCACGGTCAGCAGGAGTCAGTATCGACTGATAACGAGTACCTGATGTTCTGTCTCGTAGTGTTAAGGCTGAACACCTGAGCACTGCAGGAGCTTTAATATGGCCATTAGCATCACTGGCTCGAGCTCCATCCTCCTGACAGTGATGCTCCCAGCATGTCCCGCGCTCGAGCCCACGGTACGAGCTGCACTACACACAGGCACGCGCGCACGCTAACAGAAAAGTGGGCTAGCTTATGTAAGCCAACTTAGGCGAGATTCTACAGAGAGCTGCGAGCTTCCGGTGCGTCTCTCTCTCTCTCTCGCTCTTTCTCTACCTCTACCGCTCTCTCTCTCGCGCGCGCGCGCATCGATTTCCGACCAATGATCGATATTCCTGAGCCGATCAGGCGCGGATGCGCGAGACGTAGAGCTACGAAGGCGAGGAGGAGCTGCGCAGCAACAACGCGCGCGCGTTAGCGCAGTTACCTCACCAACCCACACACACATACACACATACACAGGCGCGCGCTCGCTCACACACACTCATATACACACATACACACACACACACACACACATACACATATACACGCACGCGCGCGCGCTCAGCAGTGGCGCAGGTTAAAACAGAAACACAAACCAGGGATAAACGCGCGACAGCGTTCCAGCGGGTATCCCACACACATGCACGCGCGCGCGCGCGCACACGCACACACGCACGCACCCCCTCCCCCTTCATCTCTCTCTCTCCTCCGGTTTCCATAGCGCTGGAAAGGAACTGTGTGACACGCGGCGCACGCGGACAAACACACACACACACACACACACACACACACAAACACACCCGCACACACACATACATATATGCGCGCGCGCACATACACACACACACTCATACACACACATAGGCGAGAACCGTCCAAACAGCCAAGGTCACGATGCATGCGCTCGAGCTCGAGCTCCAACATCAGGGCACAGCAAAAACGACCGTCATCATCGTCAGCGCCACAGTAACCATCACCATAGCAACCACCATCACATCAGCACCATCCGCATCACCACCACCAGCACCATCACCATCATTCTCCTCATCCTCGCGCTCACCATCATCTTCATCATGGTGGGCTCCGTGTCCCGCGCGCGCCGTGTCTCCGCTCCGCTCGCGCCGCTCCGCCCACAGCAGCGCACGCGCACCACGCACGTCCGGTCAGGCGCGCGGAGAGCAGAGAGACTGCGCGAGCTCAGTCCCTCAGCATCCCTGCCGCTCTCACTATCTCTCTCTCTCTCTCTCGCTCTCTTTCTCTCTCGCTCTGTGTTAGCGAGGTGTGGGCGGGGCTTAGTGAGGACTTAACCATCACTCACGAGAGAGAGAGAACGAGACATAGAGCAAAACAGAAAAGTAAAGCGCGAGAAAGAGAAATAGTAAGAAAGAGAGAAAAAGGGAGAGAGAGAAACAAATAGAGAGAGAAAAAAATAAAGCAAGAGAGAAAAGTATAGAGAGAAACACAGAAATAGGGATAGAGAAATGAGAGAGAAATGAGAGAGAGAGAGAGAGAGAGAGAGAGAGATAGAGAGAGAGACAGAAAAAGGGAGAGAGAGAGAGAAAAAGATGGAGAACAAGAAGGAGAAACAGATAGAGCAAACCAGACATATACAGAGAGATGGGGGTGTACATTAATGTATAAATATGTTTATAAATGTACTTTACACTGCCCAAAAGTAGCCATATGTTCTTTCTACTGAGTGAATTCAGTTGCTTTAAGGTTCCCATTGCTGACACAGCTTGTAAAATCTCCATAGAAAAGCACTGACCAATAGAATGGGACGCTCTGGAGAGTCCGAGGTCACCATGCAGAGTGTGGGCTAGAGGGGTCTCTTACTCTGATTTCTTTCATTTCTTTGGGCTGTCTCCAGTGTTCTCTGGAGAGATGGAGCTCCATCCAATACCTTTGGGATGATAATTGATCCAGAACTGATCATCCAACATCAGTACCTGACCTCACTAATGTTCAATCAAATCCTCACAGAAATGTTCCAACATCTAGTGCAACGGCTTTCCAGAATAGTCGAGGTTGTTACAGCAGCAAAGGGGGACAAAGACATATAATAAACAGGTTTTCTATCATAGAGAACCATTTACTTGAATAAAAAGTACACATTCAAAAGGTTCTTTAAAGGGAACCTATTATACTTTTCCGGTTTTTCTCTCTTCTTTAGTGTGTTGTAGCTTTTTGTGAGTGTAAACGTTCTGCAAAGTCGCTCAAACTTCCCTCCAGAGGGAGAAACTCTCTCCCACAGAACCCACTTTTCTCAGCTGCCTGAAACACCTCGTTGGAATTCCAGCCCTTTTCCTTTGTTACAAGATGACATCATCTCGTAACACAGTCCTTACTGCCTGCCTACCGGCGAGCTCAGCCCTCAACACGCCCTCAGCGCACAGCGGCCACTGGAGGACGAAGAGTGTGTTCAGTGCTGTATCTGTAAGACGCTGACCAGACTTTCAGGATCCACTCTGGATCAAACTGATCTGGCAGAACCGATACCCCTGGAGAACCAGCCACAGCGGAGTTTACAGCTGCTCAGGAGATAAGGGTCTGTCTGCAGACCGCAGGACAGGGGCGGAACATGGAGGGGAGGAACCGCTCTGGAGGGTGACCAATCAGAACAGAGTGGGTGAGCTGACCAATCAGAGACACAGGAGCTCTAACAGAGCGTTTCAGACAGAGGGTGAACAGAGACGAACAGTATGAGGAAAATAATGTGTTTTTGGAACAATTAAGCTGTAAATCTGCTCTAGTAGAGCAAAAGGTTTACAGGTTGCAAAACTTCTCAATTGAAATCAACATTAAATAAGGTGGCGTGTTGAAAACTGAGAGGAAGGAGTCGTGAAATCATGGTGTACTAACCACACTATAAACTGCTTACATTAAAAAAATATCAATATTAAGGCACAATATTAAATATTAAGCAATGCAGATGAAGCTGGCAGAGATTCAACTGAAAAAAATGTATTTCTTCAAACAGCCACCCAGCAGCTTGTGCTGTTGTTTCTCCTTGTGTTCCGGATCCCAAATATGGAGTATAAAATTTTAAATTACCTTACAGGCAACAGAAATCTGACATGAAACTGTGGGGAAAACTGTTTAGCCTCAGTGAGGACGAACTGCTGAACCAGCGCCGTGGCCACAAGCTCTGAGCTAACAACACAGGAAACATCCATACTGTATGTTTCCCTACAGACTTCGGTGTTGCAGCACTAAAATCTGTCCTGTAAGCTGCATAAATCCCTGAGCAGGCTTTAAAAAGAGCTCTATAATGTTTATATGATCCACACAGTCACTCTGACAGACTGTAATACACTACAGGAAGTGTAGGGGGCGATATGGCTTCTACTGTTTCATTTAAAAAGCCTCTATAATGTTCATATGATCCACACAGTCACTCTGACAGACTGTAATACACTACAGGAAGTGTAGGGGGCGATATGGCTTCTACTGTTTCATTTAAGAAGCCTCTATAATGATCTATACTTTATTCTGTAAAGTAACTGAGGTTTTATATGTGTCTGATTTATAAATAACACTCATTAATGGGGGTTTAATGGGATTTTTTTAGCATTTTGTAATTGAATAATACTCGAGAACGTTCCAGATAAAGAGCTGACAGGCCAAATGAAGCAGTGTTAGAAGAGGGAGAACATTCTAGAGACTCTAAACAGTCAGACAGGAGAGTATAGACAGGCCAGTCAGCGTACAGAGTGAGCTCAGTGGACAAAAACACTTCTGACTGAGCTTTCACTACATATATATTTCATCACTTTATAAACAAGGACAGTGATGTAATAATCTGTGCCCTCTCTCTCTCTCTCTCTCTCTCTCTCTCTCTCTCTCTCTGTATTCATCTACAGTGATGTAGCTCTTTGCTCTCTATGTGCTGTCGCAGAAGCATTGGGAGTGTTTTTGCTATGCTTTATTTTTGGTATAACATTAGCATAATATTACTTTGTAGGCAAAAACCACCTTTTATATTTATTTAATTTCCAGTTAAAATGGCCGTTAAGCACAAGTTACTCTTTATTTGGTGTCAGACAAATAAAAAACAGATAAAACATGTAACAGAAAATCACACAGAAGCCTCAAAAAGTAAATATAATATTATTGTTATCAATATTCAATGTGTGACTCTTTACCTTTATTCCAGCTTCCATTCTTTTCAGGAGACTCACCTTTCAGTTCCTCAAAGAATCTGCAGACACACCTCCAAAGTTCAGTCTTAGAAGCTGGTTGATCATTTTCTGAAGTGATCAAACACATTCAGTGGTGTTGAGGTCAGCAGCCAGCTCAACGTAAGTTTGATCGTTGCCTAATTTGAACATAAACTGCCAACTACATTCAAGTTTCACAAGCTACCTGAATTTAACTGGTTGCACCAAGTAACATGGTTTGAACGCAGCTTTAGGTTATAGCTTAACGGTGATATATTCGACATTTTCAAACATTAATATAGCAGCACACAACTATTTTCTATGTAAAGATATAGTGGAGTAGCGGCATCCTGACCAGAGAATGAAGCCACGCCCCCTCTGTGTGCGATGTAACCCGACTCTCTCTCAAAAGACGAAAGCTTAAAGTGTTGTTTATCTATGGGGACAGTTTTGGTGCCTACCAGGTCTTCCAGGTGGTTGTTAGGAGCCACATTTTCTCTGTAGCTTTTAATCATTTATTAAACTCCAGTTTTAGAAACTTTTTTCACTGGTTTTCCTGTGATTTTCTCCTTCATTCTGCGAGCGGATTATCTGATATCTGATCTCCTCACAGGCGTCTTCTGAAACATGAATAACTGAACTGTAATAATGACAAATAACACAGAACACTGCTCTACTTTAGAGACTCTCCGTCTGAAGAGTGGAATAAATTATGCACAGGGATTATAAATTATGGACAGTAATACATGTAAACAGTGTTCTGTAGCCTCAGGCACCTAATGGTACACATTACATCCCATAATACACATGGCTTATGCCTGTGTGTGTAACATGGAGGGAAGTAAGGAGAGACTAATCGACAGAGATAAGATAAGAATCAGTCCTGCTTCAGCCTGGAAGACGAGTACAACACACACACACACACACACACACACACACACACACACACACACACACTCACACATATACACTCAAACACACACACATATACACACACTCTCACACACACACACACACACATATACACACACACACACACACACACTCAAACACACACACACACACACACACTCAAATACACACACATATACACACACTCTCACACTCACATACACACACACACACACACACACTCTCACTCACACACACACTCACACACACTCACACACTCACATACACACACACACACACACACTCACTCACATACACACACACACACACACACTCACATACACACAAACACACACACACATACATACACACTCACACACACATACACACACCACACACACACACTCACACACGTGCGAAAGGGAGAGAGAAAAGAAACAAGAAAAAGCCAGAGAGGAGAAATAGCAAGAAAAACCAAGAAGAGGGAAGAGTAAGAGAGATGGGAGAGAGACAGAGAGAGAGAGTGGTGAGAGAGACAGGAGAGAGAGAGAGAGTGGTGAGAGAGACAGAGAGAGAGAGTGGTCAGAGAGAGAGAGAGAGAGAGTGGTGAGAGAGAGAGTGGTGAGAGAGACAGAGAGAGAGTGGTGAGAGAGACAGAGAGAGAGAGTGGTGAGAGAGAGAGTGGTGAGAGAGACAGAGAGAGAGAGTGGTGAGAGAGACAGACAGAGAGAGTGGTGAGAGAGACAGAGAGAGAGAGTGGTGAGAGAGACAGACAGAGAGAGTGGTGAGAGAGACAGAGAGAGAGTGGTGAGAGAGACAGAGAGAGAGAGTGGTGAGAGAGTGGTGAGAGAGACAGAGAGAGAGAGTGGTGAGAGAGACAGAGAGAGAGAGTGGTGAGAGAGACAGAGAGAGAGAGTGGTGAGAGAGACAGAGAGAGAGAGACAGACAGAGAGAGTGGTGAGAGAGACAGAGAGAGAGAGTGATGAGAGAGACAGAGAGAGAGAGTGGTGAGAGAGACAGAGAGAGAGTGATGAGAGAGACAGAGAGAGAGAGTGG